AAAAAAAAAAAAGAAAACATTTTTAGAACTAAGAAAACCGAAAAAAAAAGAGAAAATGTCTGCACATAATTTTACAAAAGCTTGCTAAATTTCTGAGAGAAGCGAATATGAAATCAGCCATTTAAGAAGAGGGAAACTGCAAAACCAACAACTGTCTCGAGTATTCACTATTCATAATTATTCACCACAGCTTAATTAAACAACAGTATAAAGTCTTGCCTAAGAGACACCAGTTTAACAGAGCAATAAAGGTATTACACAAAAAGAATTGTACTTAACCTGAGAACATCTCAAGGAGAATTCAAATGACAAAGAATGATAGCAAACACCAACAACTTCAGCAACAACAAAGGCTAATACCAAAAATAGAAAACTGCGAGAGAAACTACAGCAAAAATAAGTAATTTCACAGCTCTAAAAAAAAAAAAACAATGTACTTTTCCCATTAGTTTATCCCCTAAACGAATAAAACAGAACTGGGGTGAAAGGAAAAAACTTTTGCTAAATCAAAGACGTAAAATACACGTGTGTATAACATAGCAAAATTTGCTTCCAAACTCTCCTTCCTAATACGATACTCCTTACCGTCGAACAATAAATTAAAATAAATTATTCAGTCTCACCAATTAAACATGTTTTCAACAAAATTTTACAAAGACATTCAGAATAGAGTCACAAAACAATGAAGTATATCAAACTGATGAACCTTCGAAGGTAAGTTAACAGTAAAGGGGAAGAACTGTCTTGAAAAGAATTTCTTCTTCATCAAAGCTCATGGGACTTTTCAAAGCACACAACTGAGATCACAAAATATCAGATCGCAGATAGCACTACTTGCTGACTTATAATCCGGTAGCTTAAAAAAGTAAAATATGATAATACTAAAAATACAAATTTTAGAAAGTATTAAAAAAAATAAAAGAATAAAAACAAAAAAAACAACAAAAATTATTTTAAACAATAAACTTTTCCTTATAGAATTTTTTAAAAACGTACACGAAGTTGCTTAAATTTAGAACAGCACAGTATCTCCTCCTTAAGAAAGTATGAGAACATACTGTTAGCTCCGTTGTAGCCAAAACAATATGGAGCCATCACCACAAGTGATTGCCAAATCCTCATTATGAAGATCAAACTAAAATCATCCCAATAATAAATAGACATAGAAACAGAAACCAATCTTCCTTTATAATAAATTCCTTTCAAAGATGAGCATACAATTAAAAAACTTACCCTTGCAAGTTCTGTCTCAAAGTCGTTACACTCAGCAAAAAGACACGGTCGTGACCCTGTCGTGTACATCCTAAAATCACGTTTACGCGTTATGCAGATCTGGCTCACAGGTGTCAACTGCACTTGAACAATTTGGCATAATGGTGAAATGCAAACCTCCTGAAACACCAGATAACTAAAAAAGAACGCGCTTTATATTGTTAGCTGGAAGTAACGACAAAAAATTCATTTGCAATTTAGACCGCATAATACCCTGTCTTAAATGTCTCTAAATTTAATAATACAACTGAACGAGCTTGAACGTACACCAACAGAAGAAAAATCATTGGTATTAAGCATGATTATTTTTCCGTTCGCTGTCCCACAAAGCAAGTTACTATCACTGAGAGACAGAGTTTTTGAAAAAGCTGGTAAGTTCAAAGTCTTCACTGCCTTCCAAGCACGTCTGTCAATGCAAAGAACTCGACAATCTTCACCACACGAATAAATATAAGGGCTATTTGGCTGCAACATTAAATTTTTGCTACCATAATGCAAAGAAAAAAAAACATGGTAGAATGAAGTTCAAAGTACTCCAGTAGCTCCCAAAATGAAAAAACTGTTTAGAATAAAACAAAAACCAAGCAGTGATCACACCGTTTAAAAAAGCGAGAAACATTCATAAAGACTAACAGTATGTGCCAAATCCAAAACTGGACTTTTATGAAATTCAACTTCCGTTACACATGCCAACCCTGAACGGACATCCATCAATCCCACTTTGCGATCATAAGTCGAATAGAAAACCTCCTCACCATCACACAACACGCGTAACACTGTGCCAGTACATGAAGCAGTATGTGTCTCCTAAAAAAGATAAATTATAAGGAAGCTAACCACGTACTGAAATAGTGTTAACAATAAAATTTCAGAAACGCTGACTGAGAAATTGTGTTAAAGAAGGTAATTAAAGACTATATGCAGACCACCTCTATTCCTGTTTTTGTAATCTGCCATCGTTTTACGCAACGATCCCAGCCACAAGAGCAAAAAACGTCAGCCGCCGAAGTACTTACCGACCAAATCCAGCCCTGAAAGAAAGAAACTTGTAAAAATAAATTTTTAGTGGTAACAAATATCTGAGCAAATACAAATGTAAATCTACATGAAAAGAATAAAAACTTACTTGGTGAGCTGCTTCACAAGTTGCAATATGCCAATCGCTTTCATCAGTCTGGCTCTAAAGCAGAATGCTTCGTTAAAATATTTCATAATAAACTCGCATTCTAAAGCTCATTAAAAAATTTGGTTATCCAGGGGCAGAAACAAAATTCTAGAGAGAAATTTAATACGAATATTGTAAACGATAAGAATCTCAACTTTTCAAAATTTCTTTGCCGAAATTGACTATTATTAACGAATAAAATGTCCATTTAGTTTAAGTAACAATGCTAGCAGGAGTAAGAAAGAACCATAACATGTAGAAAACGAGGACTGCAATTCATGTTAGTAAAAAGCATAAACATTGATTCTCGGACCAAATATCAAAACAGAACAATTCTACAAACCGCTATATTCTCGACATCCCACAATATTAATGAACGATCTCGTGACCCAGAAATACACAAGCGTCTGCCGCTGGGAGAGGAAAAGAATTTAATTGCATCAACGGTGGCGTGATGAGCTGGTACACTGGTGAACTGCTTCAACCTTGTAATTGAAAGAATGTTCAAACTTTTTTGAAAGTATCATGAAGCATACAGCATAAATACAAGAAAAACTCACCAAAGATATAACTTTTCTGTAACAGTTGTCTGGACTTGTTAAATTTTCAAACGAGTTTGATACGCCCTCATTATACTTTTTTGTTAACATGTTAAGAGAGTTAAGGAGCAACTGGATATTAAGTACCTATAACAGCATTTCAACTTCCAAATTACTTCCTTACTTTCCAATCTAAATTGAAGCACAAAACGATTACTTTAAGATTTTACTTCACAGCTCTAACAAAACCATTTTTCTACTTACACTACTACATGACCATTTCCCTTTATATTTGACATTCTCTTCTGCACCATATATTTGAGGGATTTCTCGCATCCACTATGTAATAACTATTGTACAACCCCAACCTTGTGCTTACTTCTAAAAAGCTATAATAAGGGCACACCAAAATGTTGGACTTTTAATGAAGAAATTTCCTGACATAAAAATGCAGAAATAAAAATACTTCTCATCAGTCCATCGTTCACGTTGTCCCTCTAAGTATATACAGCAACGAATCACGTAAAAATCATCAGTACCATCCCGATCGAGACCAGGTTCCAAACCGAGTTCCTATAAAATAAACGATTGATCTGATCAAGGTAGGAAGAAATAACTGCACACATAAACAAATAGAGTTCAAAACAAACTACCTGAGGTTTTATTTAAAAATATAGGTTTAGTTTCAACTTTTCTGAAAACACACCTGAACCCTGTTCAACCATAAGTAAGAGTTAACCAACAGGTCGTGAAATACTCGGCAAGTAACGCGCACATTTGTCCACAAATCTTTTGAGGAAAGATTGCTCATTATCATCAAGATTATCTCACGGGGAAGTTTGTCCAATCTATGCGTTGTCGCTACACCACTCATTACCAATAACTAAGTTGACCTCAATGTAGCATTCGAGAGAAATAACCAGATGATTTTATAAACAATCGAAGGCTTAAATTACTGAAAAAATAAAAATAGATGACGTAAAAAGGTTCTATCATGAGAGAAACATGACATCGCAGGCTTCAAAATAGAAATAAGAGATAACAATTGCTGAGTTATGCTGTACCACCCAAGCCCAACATTCAACCATCTAAAATCCTTCAATTTTAATCGAACAACCTCCATCACTGGTCACGGAAAATACAAAGACTAAAAAGCCACATATAAATTTAATAATCAAAAAACAAAAAAAGGTGATAAGAGAAGTCCATGAGTTTCTGGGTGCCATCATCAAATTGATTATGATTTTTATAAAAACCAATACTTCAAACATATATCAATGAATTTTAGTTACAAAATGGAATAACAGATTAAATCTTGAAATGGTTCCAGAGCAAAAAAATACGAAGAGAGCACAACAAACAGATTACATCTTCCTGACCAGAGATGATTCTCTTACCTCCATTCCAAAAACGAGATCATTTCTACTAACTTTACATTTTAGACAATCATAAAGTGATCCATTGCATTCTGGGAATAGATTTAGAAAAGAGGTGCGATTCAAACTTTAGACAACCTATTTCTGATAAATCTTCATGGGAGGCAACACAGAACTGCCCAAAGCCCCCATCTGAAAGAAAAAGGCAAGCTAGGCAGCATTTTGGACGTTCCTTTAAAAGGCGAACAGTTAAGACAAGGAGTTCGAAAAAATTGATAGAGCACATAAATGAGCACCAAAGCGACGACTCAGTAACTTTCGAAGCAACTCAAAACTAACGCGAAATTCAGCCAGCAACAGATATTAATACACGCGTATCTTATCATCTGCCGACAGTAAAACGATTGTCATCGTAACAAAAAATAACGCGAAGGTAAGGAAGCATAAAGAAACGGCTGCTGGAAATGGGCCAAGGTGGTTCAAACCAAGACAAAAAACCCGTCTATTTTGCATATGCTCGCCTTCTGAAAAAATTCCTTTTCGTTTCTCGCTAAGAAATCTGTACCTGGCGAAATTCCAGCACGGCACTCTCTTTATTCAAAATATCTCCAAGTTGTTTAGTATATGGTTTGAAGCTACTCGTAAATATGTGACATGTCCTTCGCAGTTCGGGAACTGGATGTATTTGGCAGCCATGCGGTTTACTACATGGCTACCAATTATTTCGTTTCCAAGTACCTTCTGTGAGAGCTCAGCTTTGTAAGCGCAAGCTTAAGTTCCTGGACTGAAGCTTGCGTTAATAAAGCAGAGCCTTCACGACAGGTACTCGGAAAAGAAAATAAGAAGAGAAATGACACCCACAAATCTACGCTGACATCGTGCGCTGATCAGCCTATCCCGAAAGCAGTGTTTAAGAAGGATAAGCTGCACGGGTGATGGCATCAGATAATCCAAATGTTTCCAATCCGGGTTATATTTTTGATCGAAGTTGAAAACTCAATCCCAGGTGAAGATTTCGTTGCCTTTTAAACCACACACCATTATAAAACCACTGTTGTAAAACATCGTAAAAATTAAGGCGGAACATCAAGTGGTCAAAAAGTAAATAAGCGTCATGTAGACAAGTCTGAAATCATTGCAGATCAATAAGACCGGGAATTCTATAAGGGAAAATTGAATGTGAAGTGAAGGTGAAAAAAAAAAAACACTTTCAGAGGTGGGGTGGACCTAAAAACAGCGTCAATAAACATATGACTGTGGCAGACTTTCTTCTGTTTTCCACACTCCACATCATAAATCACAATCACAAATGGTAAACAAGCTCAATAGTTTCAGGCAGCTTATTTACAGAGAAAATGAAGGCATACTAAAACAGCTGCAAATTACTTTGGACATCTTGAAAATTGTTCCCACATTTTTCTTATCCTTCCAACAAATGGTAGCAATGTGGCCAGAAACTGATAGAGCTGCAGGTTCAACGGTAATAATTTCAGATTTTTCTAACTGCCTTTTCTTTTGGACTCTTTAAGGATTTAACGGTAAAAATTCACTTTAACTCCGGTAACCTTCCAAAACGGTGTTTTGTAAGTGCTGTGTGCTTTAATGGTTAAGTAATGGAACTGTACTGCTTTGGGTTTAGCTTCCATAGAGACGACTTTTTGTTTCCTTGCCAAGTATTCCCGATGCTTTGATGGTGCCCGTACTTAACTGATTTCCTAATGTACAGTCTTGGGCAGGAATCGATGGACAACTGAATTTTGTATCAAAAATGATTCCAAAATTCGTTTGGAGCAGTTCTAACAACTACTAAGTGCTTTGATCAGAAATGGCTTTCGTTTCGAATCGCATGGATTTATGTGAATTAGTTCAATGAAGAAGTATTCCTGTTGTAGTCTATACTACAATAGTATAATCTTGTATAATTGATTATCAAATCATTAAAATTTGTGAATTTTACTGTAATATGTTGGAAAGTAAGAAATA